TCAAACCAGTCAAAAAAAACAATACACTATAGAGCCAACCCAGAGGGAAATGGATGCCGGAGTCTGCTTAGAAACAAGAGACCAAGAGGTATCGTGTGAAGACTCGTAAGTCCAGCAGCTTGCGCAGCCTGGAGAAGGCCATGTTCAGGTCGTACGCATCGTCCACCCGATGTCATAAAGCCTCCACAAGGCCCAAAGTGACCTAAGTTCAGTAGCAGCTAGTCAGTGTCAGAGGTTGCGGGAGGGTATCGCACAAAGGATCGTAACATCCCCCCGCAACCGAAGACACCTTCTGGCATGACCCGACATCAACCATGTTCGACGGGAGCGCAGCTGCTCTAGCATAGCCAAAGGCCAAAACAAGAAAATCCAGGAGCAAGCGGGAACAATGTACAAGAAATGCTTCTTTGACCTCCGTTGCTTGCTCAAATTGTTCTGTGGCCTCTTGAGAAGCATCAAGAATAAAAATCAGCATCTCTGATGAACGCTCAAATTACGCCAAAGCCTTCGCAGCATCAGCAAGATCAAACACGAGCACCCCAATTCCTCCGCTACGATGTGCTAGAACTTCCTTGTCAACTTCAAGCAAGCACAGAGACGGAGGCCAGATCAGCCAAACAAGCACCAAAGCCTCCGCAAGGCGCCCAAAGTCAAAAACCAACAACTCAGCTCCTTCGCGCAAGAGCACAGACTCGTATTCAACGTCGGCCAGAGAAGAGAGAAGCGGAGGAAAAAAGTGAAACCAAGGCACAGGAGATGTAACCCTTCGGCCTAGTCAAAAATTATAATAAAAATCCTTTGTAATAAGAAATGCACAAACAAACAATCAAGGAAAACTTTATTTCAAAGCAGATACAATTACAATAGTAGCGCATTAGAAGCGCAATAGTACAAAAGCCCGAAGGCGGCAAAGGAAAAAGAGAAGGCACTAAGGCCTCCCAAGTAACAGCTACAAAGACGCGAAGGCCAGCCAAACAAGTCAATTAAAAAACTAAGGACAACGCCCTCGCCAAGCTAACGATCTGGTAAACTCCGCACGTTCATTGTCAATATTATACTTTACAAAATTAAACATATCGTGAACAGAACGATGGGGAAAGTTTTCTGCCATAATTCACCATTAACATAAATGTCGTCTTTATACATAGTAACAGGAGGCACGTCCTGCACAGTCCTAGTGAAGGAGACCTGCGCTAGACAAGTTCATAATTTAGACCTAAATATATACAACTGTCGCACATCGCCTTCAACCAAGCCTAAGAAAACTAACTAAAACCTAAACTACACCTTCGGATTAGCAAGAGCAGACGTGAGCTCCGGGGGATTTGGAGCCTCAGCAGCCGGATTTGGAGCCTTCGGAGCCGGCGCCTCGGTAGCCGATGAAGATCGTGCACCAGCAGCTCCACGTGCAGCTTCCTTCTTCTACAACTCCTACAGAAATAATACCAAGTTATAAAAATAGCAAGCAAGCAGTAAAAAACCTAAGACAGAAACAAACAAGTTACAAACAAAAAACTAACCTTAGCTGGGCGTGCCTCCGCCATTGAGCGAGCCTCCGCCCGGCCAAACCTCACCCAGAACGACATCATGAAGTGGCGAACTGATCTTCGGATATCACGCGAAGTCATTCCAAGGTCGGTCGGGCCCTCAAGATCTCTCTCCTTCATGTCCTTCATATGCGGGCAGCCATCCTGCGCTAACATTTTTGAAAGATTTGTGGCAGAGGCCAAAGCTCTAAAATCCACAGCACCTCCAACGAAGTCAGGGAGATTCATGAAGTTGTCCTTCAACCAGGAGAAGATGTTGAATGCCGAAGGCTCAAAAGGCAGCGGCGGCGTAGAGCCTCCGAACTGCTCAAACGCCCCCACGTAAAGCTTAGCCACCGCCAGCTTGATGGACTTGGCGTCCTCAAGGCGCTTAGATAACATATCTACTTGCACCTTTAAGGTAGCGCCAGACTCCCTCTCAACATCCACCTCCTTTCGAAGGCTGTCGGCTAACTCAAAGGCCTTTAGGGCGAACTCAGCAGCTAGTTGCTCAGCAGCCTTCGCGCCATCAACCTCCTTATTTAGCAAGTCAACCTTCTTCTGGAACTCCTCCAGTTCAGCACAAACAGTGCGAAGGCCACCAACCTCCCCAACAAGCCGAGTCTTTTCGGCCTGTAGAGTATCTACCTCCTTCTTCAAGGCCTCAATGGACAAATTGTGGTCGACCACCTCCCGCGTGCCACACTCTTCGATGGCCTCCGAAAGATAGTGACTCTGCCAAAACGAGCGTCAGCCATAAGCAAAGTAGAGTAACAGCTATGGAAACAAAAAAAGAAACATACCACATATTGCTGCTCCAAATTCATCTGTAGCAACTTGAAGTAGTCTATGTTTTTCAAGTGGTGGCGAAGGCGGTGTTGGGAGTATGCCCTAGAGATAATCATAGAGATGATTATATTGCCTTGTATCCATGATATATTATGAGTTCATTGAATTTCCATTAAAGACAACCTGTATCGATTAGCAATTATGTGAATTGTTTGTGAAACTCTTTTACTTGTATGGTTATTCTAATGTAGTCCCTGGTCAGAGTTCATGTGAGGACACACATGAATAATAGATCAGCACATTATTAGTTGATGACTATGTTTCACAAGTCATAGACATGGAGATGTCAAACTAATAATGTGGGCACATGTATGACATGGGGTTGGATTGACCCAACATGAGATGTTGTTATTATCTATATTCACATCATGTACGTTATGTCCTTAGACCTGAGATTGTTGTATTTATTCAAGATGTGAAATGACCTACTCAGGGACTATCAAACGCTACTCCATAACAGGGTAGTTATAAAGGTGGTTTTTCGGGTTTGTCGGGAAACATGCTTTGAGACATAGACAATCAAGATGGAATTTGCCCCTGGATCACTCTAATAATTAGATCAAAAAATGCACGGCCGTGCTTTGGTTAAGTGTTAACCTATGAGTTGGACCAAATATCGTGAGGCAAGGGAATAACAAGTATGTGGTTTTGTGGTGGTTCGTCTGATATGATGTTTGCATACGCATAGGAGTTGACATGCCTTGCTAGAGGCCGCTATCAACTAATGGCCGAGTGGGAGTACTCGGGCCATGTCTATGTGTGCGTGAACCCATAGGGTTGCATGCTTAAGGGGCTGGAAGCCTAATTCGGATTGGATCCGAGTTAGACAAGGCTTAGGGTTACTAATGGGCCTCCAACTCAGGAGCTCATTTGGGACGCCTATAAATAAGTGGGGTGGGCAATGGGGCTAGGGATCCACGCCATTTTGGTAGCCGCCGCCGCCCATCCTATGCCCGCGCCTGCTGCTCCTCGTGGACCTAGCAGTCTGGAGGCGCGACGCTTCCTCCCTGTACGTGTGGATACCTCGGAGGTGCTGCATCTGGAGCACAAGGACAAACCGCACAAAGGGGATGGACGTATGGATGACCTTGCAACTGCACGACACTGCTACAACATGTACGACTACATCGAGTCGCTTCCGCTGCACCTGCGCGTCTAGTGGTAATCCAGTGATCTATAACTAGCAGGAGATCCTGGTTTATGAGGTCGAATTTTTGTTTTCCGGCTAGCGTAGCATCCTCGTAACCCTATAGTGGTATCAGAGCTGGTTACTATGTTGTTATAGGTTCGAATGAGTGCATATGGAGATATGTGCGGTTATAGATGAGTCTCTGATCATGGTTCATGATTTTACCGTGTTGGTCTTGTAACGATCTACTCGTACCGGTCGGAATTCCGCCATCCGAGTTAAGTGATACATGTAAATCCAGTCATGGCAAGATGGAGATCAATCAGATTGATCGAATCGAACCTAGGTCAAGTGCCGAGCGCATGTGATGCGCAGCGGTGATAGATTCGATCTACTATCGGGCACCGGGGTGCAAGAAAAAGTGTTGTTCGGTAAAACAACCATAACTTTTGCATACGACCTCGGATTGAGACGAACTCTATACAAAAATTGTAGAGAAAAAATTTTTACATCCGATTCTCACCGCCCTTGGCGGTTTCGCTGAAATTAGATTTGCGAAAAACGGCCGGGAAGATGGTGTTTCAGTGTTTTAAGATTAGACGTCGGAATCGGTTAACTCTGTTTTGCAGGAATTTATGACTGGTATAGCCCTTATGTGTATGTGATGCATGTATATAATTAATTCATGGCTTGCATGTCGTGAGTATGACAATATGGCTGGAGCCACAAAGATATTGTCAATTTGATGTAATGGCCTGCGTGCCAAACTGTGATGATCCTATCCGCGACTATGTAATTTTCTTCACTACCTTGCGTTAGTGATAGCTAGTCTTGGTGGATTCATCACTAAAGGATGGCATACATGGATCATGGAGATGGAGATCATCATGAGGAACAGTTCGATGGAGATGGAGATCCCCAAAGGAACAATGGGCTATACCATGTCATATCTGTGTTATTGTCGTTCTTACTATGTTCTACTTTCACGTGCGATAATGTTTTTGTCTACATGCGATGGTGAAGTAGAACGATCCCTCGGCAATGTTTAAGTTAAAATGCTTCCCCAAACCTTGCACTATCATGTGTCTTGTACAATCGGTGGTGGGTCTATGAAATTAGGGTGCCACTGGTTTTTCTTGACTAGACAGGTTCGTATCGGATACTTATAGCAGAAGGGTTGGTTACTTGGATAAGGTCATCCTAACGGTTAGGGACCTTGGAGCATGAGTAGTTGGGCACCAAAGCATAGAGATGCTACCCAACAACAAGAGTCATATGTGATATGATTAGCAAAGAGTTGCTTACCAATCTACCATGTCTTCTAGCGGTGATGCTAAAGCTCACTAGTAGACTTGTTAGTTGTGGGTCTTGAATCACTAAGTTTCAAGAGAGGGATATTGATTTTAGTGGGAGTAGATTCTATTAAAGGTTTAATATTGTTTACTCTATCTTGGATACATTGTCTTAGTATTTTGCATTACTTTTGTTGTAGATAAATGGCGCCTAGCAATCAACCATTTACTTTGCGTTCAATTCTTGAGAAAGATAAGTTGAATGGAACAAACTATGCGGATTGGATCCGTAACCTGAGAATTGTTCTCAGGGCTCAGAAAAAGGAAGAAATTCTAGACACCCCATTACCAGAAGAGCCTGCTGATAATGCACCTGCTGTAGAGAAAAACGCTTACAAGAGAGCATGTGATGCTGATCTTGAAGTGAGTTGCCTTATGCTTGCTTGTATGGAACCAGATCTGCAGTTGCAGCTTGACAATAACCATGCAGCGCACGATATGATCGTGGCGCTCAATGATATGTTCCACACTCAAGCTAGGACCGAAAGGTTCAATGTCTCAAAGGCTTTTGCTGAAACCAAGCTAGCAGAGGGCGCAGCAGTTGGGCCACATGTGATCAAAATGGTTGGTTACACTCAGAGGTTGGAGAAGCTGGGCTTCCCAATTGGCCCTAAATTAGCTACTGATTTTATTCTTGCATCTCTTCCGCCCAGCTATGGAAATTTCATCGTGATCTACCATATGCATGGGGCAGAGAAGGGCTTGAATGAATTATGTGGCATGCTTAAAACAGCAGAGGCTGGTATCAAGAAAGGTGCTGGCAGTAGCCATGTGATGGCGGTCTAAAACAAGCCTAAGTTTAAGAAGAAGGGCAATTCTTGGAAGAAGAAAAAGGGCAAGGCTAAAGATGAGATCTCTAAGCCAAACCCACCTGCGCCCAAGGCTGGACCACCTGCTGATGCCGAGTGCTTTCATTGTCATGGGAAAGGTCACTGGAAGAGGAACTGCAAGTTGTACCTGGAATCCATAAAGGATCGCGGCAGTAAAGGTACTCCCGCAGCTTGTACACTTGTTGTTTATGTTACGGACATTTTCCTTGCTAATTCTTATATTAATTCTTGGGTATTTGATACCGGATCAGTTGCTCATATTTGCAATACGATGCAGGGAATGATAAGAAGTAGAAGCGTGGAAAAGGGAGAAGTTGATTTCCGCGTGGGCAATAATGCAAGAGTTGCTGCGTTGAACGTCGGGACGATGCAACTCCACCTCCCGTTAGGATTTATTATGGAGTTGAATAATTGTTATTTTGTTCCTAGTTTAAGTCGAAACATTGTGTCACCTTCATGTTTGATGAAGGATGGTTATTCATTTGCGAGTAAAGACAATGGTTGTGTGATCTCTAAAAATGGCATGTTTATGGCTTCTGCATCCATTGTGAATGGGTTATTTATTTTAAATCTTGAAGATGCTCCTGTCTATAATATAAGTGCTAAAAAGCCTCGGCTTAATGAGTTAAGTCCTACCTATATGTGGCATTGTTGTTTAGGTCATATAAGTGAGAATCGCATGAAGAGGCTCCATTCTGATGGGCTTTTAACTTCATTTGATTTTGAATCACACGAGACATGTGAGGCTTGCCTACTAGGCAAGATGACCAAGATGCCTTTCACAGGTTTTCCTGAGAGGGCGGTAGACTTGCTGGAACTCATACATACTGATGTGTGTAAACCAATGAGTACGACAGCAAGAGGCGGATTCCAATACTTCATAACCTTCACTGATGACTTTAGTAGATATGGCTATGTCTACTTAATGAGACATAAGTCTGAGACATTTGAAAAGTTCAAGGAGTTTCAGAGTGAAGTAGAGAATCAACGTGGCAAGAAAATTAAGGCTTTGCGATTTGATCATGGAGGCGAATATTTGAGCCACGAGTTTAGCAATCATCTAAAGAGTTGCGAAATTGTTCCACAGCTTACGCCACCTGGAACGCCTCAGAGAAATGGCATGTCCGAGCGACGTAATCGGACTTTGTTGGACATGGTTCGGTCTATGACGAGCCAATCAGACCTACCGTTATCATTTTGGGGATACGCTCTAGAAACAGCCGCTTTCACGTTGAATAGGGTACCGTCTAAGTCCGTAGTTAAGACACCACATGAGATGTGGACTGGTAAGAGTCCCAGTTTGTCTTTTCTGAAAATTTGGGGTTGTGAAGTTTATGTCAAACGACTTATGACAGATAAACTAACACCCAAGTCAGACAAATGATTTTTCGTGGGATATCCGAAGGAAACTTTAGGGTATTGCTTCTACAACCGATCAGAGGGCAAAGTGTTTGTTGCTCAGAACGGTGTTTTCTTAGAGAAAGAGTTTCTCAAAAGAGAGAAAAGTGGACATAAGGTGTATCTTGAAGAAGTTCAAGATGAGCCAGTTGGGAAGGACTCTACGAGTGATGCTAATGTAGCAGAACAAGTTGAGATACCCATGGCAATAGAAACATCACCACAACCACGAAGGTCAGCAAGAATCCGTGAGTTGTGTGGGGATTTGTTATTGTTAGACGATGATGAACCTGCGACTTATGCGGAAGCAATGATGGACCCAGATTCCGAGAAATGGCAAAGTGCCATTAGATCCGAGATAGATTCCATGGGAAACAATCAAGTTTGGAACTTGGTTGACCCGCCTAATGGGGTTAGACCCATAGAGTGCAAATGGATCTATAAAAGGAAAAAGGACATGGATGGAAACGTTCACGTCTATAAAGCTCGACTTGTTGCAAAGGGTTTTTGGCAAGTTCAAGGAATTGACTAAGACGAGACTTTCTCGCCGGTAGCGATGCTTAAATCTATCTGGATCATTCTAGCAATAGTTGCTTATTTTGATTATGAGATATGGCAGATGGGTGTCAAAACAACCTTTCTAAATGGAAATTTGGATGAGGACGTGTATATGATACAGCCCGAAGGTTTTGTTGATCCAAACAATGCTGGAAAAATTTGCAAGCTTCAGAAATCCATTTATGGGTTAAAGCAAGCATCTCAGAGTTGGAACATTCATTTTGATGAAGTGGTCAAAGGGTTTGGCTTCCGTCAGAATGAAGAAGAACCTTGTGTTTACAAGAAGGAAAGTGGGAGCGCTGATGTATTTCTGATCTTGTATGTGGATGACATATTATTGATTGGGAATGACATTCCTATGTTGCAATCCGTAAAGACTTCACTGAATAATATTTTCCTATGAAGGATTTAGGAGAAGCAGCATACATTTTGGACATCAAGATCTATAGAGATAGATCGAAGAGGCTTATAGGATTAAGCCAAGATACGTATATTGACAAGGTGTTGAAACGGTTCAACATGGAACAGTCCAAGAAAGGGTTCTTGCCTATGTCACATGGTATGCGCTTTAGCGATAAACAGTGTCCTTCGATAGTTGATGAGCGGAAGCGCATGAGTAAGGTTCCATACGCCTCGGCAGTTGGTTCCATCATGTATGCCATGATATGTACTCGCCCAGATGTCTCATATGCTCTAAGTGTTGCGAGCAGGTACCAAGCTGATCTAGGAGAGAGACACTGGACACTTGTTAAAAACATTCTTAAGTACTTGAGAAGGACTAAAGATGTGTTCCTAATCTATGGAGGTGAGGAGGAGCTCGTTGTAAATGGTTACACCGATGCTAGCTTCCAAACTGACACGGATGATTCATATTCTCAATCAGGTTTTGTGTTCACAATAAATGGTGGTGTTGTAAGTTGGAAAAGTTCCAAGCAGGAGACGGTGACCGATTCTATAGCAGAGGCCGAGTACATTGCAGCTTCTGGAGCTGCGAAGGAAGGTGTTTGGATGAGGAGGTTCCTCATTGAACTTGGTGTGTTTCCGAATGCGTCCAGCAAATTGAATCTACATTGTGACAACAATGGGGCAATTGCGTAGGCTAAGGAGCCAAGGAATCACCAAAAGAACAAACATGTACTACGGAAATTTCACCTCATTCGAGAGTTCGTTAGATGAGATGAGATCAAGATGTGCAAGATACACACAGATTTGAATGTTGCAGATCCTTTACAAAGGCTCTTCCACAGCCTAAGCATGAGGCTCACATGAGAGCTATGGGTATTAGATATCTTCGAGATTAACTCTAGTGCAAGTGGGAGATTGTTGGGAGTATGCCCTAGAGATAATCATAGAGATGATTATATTGCCTTATATCCATGATATATTATGAGTTCATTGAATTTCCATTAAAGACAACCTGTATCGATTAGCAATTATGTGAATTGTTTGTGAAACTCTTTTACTTGTATGGTTATTCTAATGTAGTCCCTGGTCAGAGTTCATGTGAGGACACACATGAATAATAGATCAGCACAATATTAGTTGATGACTATGTTTCACAAGTCATAGACATGAAGATGTCAAACTAATAATTTGGGCACATGTATGACATGGGGCTGGACTGACCCAACGTGAGATGTTGTTATTATGTCTATTCACATCATGTACGTTATGTCCTTAGACCTGAGATTGTTGTATGTATTCAAGATGTGAAACGACCTACTCAGGGACTATCAAACGCTACTCCGTAACAGGGTAGTTATAAAGGTGGTTTTTTGGGTTTGTCGGGAAACATGCTTTGAGACATAGACAATCAAGATGGAATTTGCCCCTCTCTATATGAGAGAGATATCACTGGATCCCTCTAATGATTAGATCAAGAAATGCATGGCCGTGCTTGGGTTAAGTGTTAACCTATGAGTTGGACCAAATATCGTGAGGCAAGGGAATAACAAGTATGTGGTTTTGTGGTGGTTCGTCTGATATGATCTTTGCGTACGCATAGGAGTTGACATGCCTTGCTAGAGGCCGCTATCAACTAATGGCCGAGTAGGAGTACTCGGGCCATGTCTATGTGTGCGTGAACCCATAGGGTCGCACGCTTAAGGGGCTGGAAGCCTAATTCGGATTGGATCCGAGTTAGACAAGGCTTAGGGTTACTAATGGGCCTCCAACTCGGGAGCTCATTAGGGACGCCTATAAATAAGTGGGGTGGGCAACGGGGCTAGGGATCCACGCCATTTTGGCAGCCGCCGCCGCCCATCCTACGCCCGCGCCTGCTGCTCCTCGCGGACCTAGCAGTCCGGAGGCGCGATGCTTCCTCCCTGTATGTGTGGATACCTCGGAGGTGCTGCATCTGGAGCACAAGGACGAACCGCATGAAGGGGATGGACGTACGGACGACCTTGCAACTACACGGCACTGCTACGACACATACGACTACATCGAGTCGCTTCCGCTGCACCAACTACATCGAGTCGCTTCCGCTGCACCTGCGCGTCTAGTGATAATCCCGTGATCTATAACTAGCAGTAGATCCTAGTTTATGAGGTCAAATTTTTGTTTTCCGGCTAGAGTAGCATCCTCATAACCCTACATGCGGCCTAGCAGCAAATTAAACGTAAGAAATGTAAGACAAAAGGTAAGAAAATAAAAGATATATGAAGAACAACCTCCTATATCATTATAAATAGCTTCAAGCACATCCGACCACCCACTTATTGTGCTGTAGGAGGCACTTAGAATACCAAACAAAATCAGCAAGACCAAAAACAAAAAATAATGAAGAAACAAAAAACAAGAAATAAAAAGTAACCTTCGCCACCATCCAAGCCAGCGCCGGATGGACGAGGATTCGGACCCCCAAGCGGAGGCCTCGGAGGGGCTCCTAAGCCAATCCGGGTGAGGTCCACACCTAAAGGGCCGTTAGGGTTTTCATCAGTCCTCCCAAGGGCCTTCGTCAAGCCCCTTGGAGAAATAAAAAACAAGTCCCGATAAAATAAGAAAGCTTAAGCAATAAAACAAAAGCAAAGCTAAAAATCAACTCACCAAGATGCAAAGGACTCGGGACACTGCCTGAGCCTCCAGCATCCTCGGCGTGGTGATCGGTGGCCTGAAACCCTATGCCCGGAGCCGGAGCAACTAGAGAGCTCGCCTCCGCCTCGTCCTCAGACACCTCGTCGAGACCAGCCGTAGGTCGGCTAAGGCCAGTACCATCGCCTCCCCCTCTCTGGGCGGAGAAGCATCACCACCACCACCACCATCGCCCTCGGAGCCGAAAGTTTCGTCACCCAAAATGCCGGGCATAGGCGCCACGGCAGAGGGTTCAGCAGCAAGGCCACCGTCCGCACCTTGGAGGGCGGTATCCACCAAATCATCACCGCCAAGATCCAAGGAGGCAGCAGAGCGCTCGCCTCCCGTTCTAGCAGCAGCAGAGCCAGAGGCTCCGCCAACGTTCTCGGCAACCTCCTCATCATCATTAGCCGAGGCAGCCGCGGACGCATCGGTGGAGGCGGCAACAGAAGCAGCCCTAGTCTTCCACCTCTTGGTAATGACCTTGGACGCAGTACCCCCTTTCTCTTCATCACCGCCGCCATAGTAGTTACATTCTTGCGCCTTCCTGCCTTGTCTTCTATGGACTTGTGCACCTTCGCAGAACATCATGTTTCTTGTGGTGGATCCCGAATTCCTTAAAAACTCTATTAAGCGGTGGCATCGCCACCAACGATGGCCCGCGCTAGATACCCCAGTCGGACATCTCACCAAGTATCTCACAGGCCCCGCCTCGGTGGACTTCACCAACTTCTCCGCAGCCCTAGCCCTCCTTCTTCTCAAATACAAAGCGCGGGAAAGGAACCCCGGCACCTTCTCCAAACATAGGCAGACTAACCATCTCAATGGTCATGGCGGGCCTGTTCCTACTGAGGGGCCAGCAGTTAGCCACCACCATCTCCTCGACCAAGTCAGGACCTCCGGAGTACCGGCAGGCCAGAGCGAAGGCCCTGTTGCATGCTTCGTGACCCTTGTCAGTCCCTAGATCTGGGGTTCCCTGAGTCAAAGGCCTCATTGGAGTCATCACCGAGGCTAGCGGATAGCGGGTATTCTTCTTCCCGTCTGAGCCGGTAGATGACATGACTCCGGTCCTCACGTAGAACCAATACTGCATCCAATCCTTCGACCACTTGTTCTTCTGGGCAAAGGAGATCTCCAACTTCTCGCCCTTTTGGGCCCTTCGCGGCATAAAATCATAGCTCCCATATTGTGCCCCCAGCTGATCTTCACCAACTCGCTTAGGCTGGCGCTGGAGCTCGTAGTACTCATAGAAAGTACCAACGTTGGGCTCCGTGCCATAAGACAAGCAGGCCCAACAAAACTTACTTAGGGTAACTATTCCATTGGGCATTAGATGGTGAAGTTGTACCTCAAACGCCTCCAACACCTGGCGAAGGAAGCGCGCCACCGGGAAGCGAAGGCCGCAGAGAAAGAAATCCCTAAAAACCACGGCATCAGCGGCCTTCGGCTTAGGAATTGTCTCCCCCTCCGAAGGCTTCACCTTAGCATCCCCAAAGCAGCCCAGCTGCCGCAACTCCTCAATCATGTCCTTAGTCATGAGCGAAGCCCTGAAATCCCACGTCTTGGATGTGCTGGCCATGTCTCTTGCCTCTTCAGTGGTGATTAAGTCTGCGACGGAGGCCTCAACTCCAGAAAGATCTTCTTCATGTTCCAATGCCTCCACACTAACAATCATGCACTCCTCAAACCGCGTGGACCACCCACTAGACCTAACACTAAGAAGGCGATGGTACGGCCCAAAGAAGGAAGTCTGGCGCCGAGGAGGACTGGCAGGCGTAGCCACTTTTAAAACTCAGAAACAGACCAAGAGGGGAGCGAAGGTAAAAACCAACTAGGCGAAAGCCGGGCGAAAAGGGACAGCGCAGGAAGTGGCATCAGCAAAAGCGATGGCTAGGGTAGGGACAGGGGGCCTTCACCTACCGTCCCTTAAAAAGCCCCCATCGTGACACTTCGATTTCCAGGGCCAACGGTCACACTCGTTCAAAAACACATCGGTTCCGCAACCACCGCGGCGAATCAAATAACGACACGTCACCAACGCAGTGGTATGATCCAGGCGTCCTAGGGGGAAAGGGGAAAAGCCTCTGTGTGCGCAAGAGCCTCCGCACCTCAGAGCCTGAGGGCTAGGTTTCAAGGGCAAGGCCCGCATGGGGGATGCCTCCGCGCCTCAGAGCCTAAGGACAATGTTTTGAGGGCAAGGCCCGCCAGCATCAGACGAAGCCCTCAAGGGGGGAACTGTTGGGATACAGTTATGAGCCGCGGAGGCCAGGGACCGCAACAACAATGAAAGCTAACGAATAACGAATTTTATGAGTGATGTGCAGAAGAAGATGATGAGCCTCCGCCGATCGGCTGATCAAGGCGAAGGACCAGAGGATGCGGCAAAGCCTCCGCCTGATCACCTGAACGCGGTCCAAGGCGGAGGCTCCGACGCCCTGAGCGGAGGCTCCGGCGACCGGAGCGAAGGCACCCGTATGCAGCCAATGGCGAAGGCTCGGACGGCACGTGCGGAGGCTACGGAGAGTCGGCGCACAGGTACGGGCGAAGGTCGCCCCAGACGAAGGCCCCGAGAGTCGAGGGACTTCCTGAAGGACGACGGTGCCAGGCCGTGGGCTGTAGACGGACTCACGGTTGTGTTCCATCAAGCAAAGGCGGTTGAAGAAGAAGGCACTCAAATAACCCTTAGCAGTTTGTATTAGTATAGGAATATTCCGAGGATGTACTGTAACCGTCAATAGGTAAAATTGAAAAAGGGCAGCCTTAGCCAGCAGTGCCTTATAAAAGGGGAACACAAACTCTGTACAAAGGGAGAGGTAGTTGAATGCATTTATGGACCCACTTTCCACCTGACACGCCTTCGCCCGAGGCACCTATCCGAGCGAAGGCTTTGGCTATCTCCTCCTAGTCCCACTGGCTAGAAACCACCGTTTTCCAACAACTTTGCCAAGGCTTGCAAGGCCATTGTGGGTATTACAGTCCCTCCATTGCTGGATCCCTTTCACGTTCTGGAAGACTTCAGAGTTCAG